TCCTGGAGTGTGCGTGGAAGAACTGTGGGTGGTGTTTCATATTTTAAAACCGGCTCATATGCACATCAATCCATACAGTTTAAATAACATTTAATCCTACAAATCATAAATCTATGGAATCTTTTGCAAATTAACTTTAAACTGTTAAATCTATACAATGTACGTATAAACTGGATGGACTATGGGTGGTCATTTTGTTTCTTTGCGGGTTTTTGTTTTGTGTTATGTTTTGACTTTCGTTTTTTGGAGTCCTTTTTGCCCATATCATGCCACCTCCATGTCGTTTGATTTACGCACGTTTCTTTCTGCTCTCAAAATATTTCCCCCACTGCGTATGATAGCAAAGATCCAGAACTGATTCAGGAGTCATGTGAGATGCTCGAAGAGGCAGGCAGCGGGCGAGAGGTAAAAGGGGAGAAGCTGCCGTCAGATCAGCTGCATTTTAAACATTTCAAGCATCGTTCCTGTAGCTTTGACTGTAAATTATTTTAATCTTCATAATCCCCAGAAGGAAAGCTGCTTATGGAGCTGGTGGGCAGTCTGAACAAAGAGTTTCGAGGCAAAAGGAGGACGGAGCAGAAATATTGCAAGTGCAACAGATTGGCAAGGAGCCAGGTTGTGTGGGGGAGGGCGAGGGGGAAGATGAGAAAAAGCCAGAAGGGAAATGGTTAAATGGCACATATATGCCAGCATATACCACCCCCACCCTGGCTGGCAGTCCTTTGCAGCAGATTTCTATCTCCAGACAGCTGCGATCTGTCCAAGGAGAAAATGGACGCAGAGCTGTGGCTAAGGGCAGTATAGAAATGCAAATAATAAGAATGAAAGTGTGGTGAATGTACATGATTTTATGTGGGGAATGAATCTGTGTCGCTGAGCATCTCTTCTCATATGAACATCGTAAGACTTCTGATTAGTCAGAGCACAGAACAATCCAGTCCACAGACATTGAACTACAGGCCCGTGGGCCAAATCTGGCTAGCCCATGGGCTGATTTGGCCACCTGGATCCCCTCAGCTGGCTACACCCTCTGGGACAGCCCCAGCCTGTTCCCCCCAGCGTTTGGCTTTGGGGCTGTTCTCTCCCCTGCCCCAAATTCAGAAGGGTCAAATTGCTCCCCCTTAAGGTTCTGTTACTGGCCGTCAGCGCTTTAAGCTACAGAGTGTGTGTATTTTCAGTATTTCTCCTACTATTTTTGACCTGCCTCCTTTTGCTTTCATCTCTTCCCCATCACTGGAATGTGACCACCGAGCTGTTCTCCAAAACCGAAATAAGCCTTTGGGACGAAAGGTTCAGCACCCCTGAACTAGCTCAGGACCCTGTACGCCAGCAGTTCCCCCAGGAAGCCAGCCCATTGTAACCACAACCCTCCACGAAAGGAATCCATGGTTTGTTGTTGGCTTGCGAACTGTGCGTTGCTCATCACGGCTTGTTATCACGGCTGGGTTCGGACAAGACAATATCCCACTTCTGCGGGGTTTTGCTTGAACATTTTGCAAGCGTCTGAAAGGCTGAACAGCTCCTGATATGGAACCCGGGAGCCGCGCTCAGAAAAGAACTGAACAGTGAGCTGTCACAACCACGGACAACTTCCCTCTACGCTCAGCGACAGACATGCCCCAGCCTGCCATCCAAACGCTCCTCCCAGCCGTCAGTCTTACCATCTGCACAAACCCATTGCAGGCTTGCCAGCCGCAATGCCAGGCCGGCTCTCGGCGCCTGACCCTAGCTGACCATTCCCCCCGCATGGAAGTAGCGTGGCTTTCCTGCCCTCCGGCGTTCCTGCCAACCCGGAATGGCAAAGACAAAGCGCTTTAGCTCACCGAATATTTTTTAACACTGAATAATTCTCTCCAGTGGAAAAGGAACTATTTTAATCTTTTCTTGCTGTAGGTGAGAGACACTCTCAGGAAGAGCCCAGCAAAGTTGTGTGGGGGAAGGCAATCTGTGTCGAACCGTGCGCCCCTCCCTCCCGTACGCCATTCTGCAATGCCACATCTCTTTCCTTGGAAATAAGCCCGACTTACTTCCAAGTGCGCCAGTGGAGCAGGTCACCCAACGTAGTCCAGCCTGGGGGTCGAGTTTCAGAGCCGCTCTGGGGGGGGGGGGTCACAATCCTGGGGCGGGCAGAGCGAAAGGCAAAAGGCGGCAGGGCCAAAGTTAGCAGAGACACCAGCACATTCCCCCTTAAAGCACTTCCTGCGACACTGAAGCCTTAGGAGAGAGATCTGCACCTTTTGGAACGGGGGAGAGAAACTGTAAAAGCCAGAACCCCAAATAATCTGAGAGAGCCAGTGTGGTGTAGTGGTTAGAGCATGGGACCGGGACTCGGGGGATCTGGGTTCGAGTCCCTGCTCGGCCATGGAGCCAACTGGGTGACTTTGGGCCAGTCACAGAAGCTCAGCCCAGCCTACCTCACAGGGTTGTTGTTGTGGGGATAAGATGAAGGAGGAGATGCAAGCTGCCTTGAGCCCTTTGTAGGAAAAAGGCAGGATACAAATCGAAAAATAAAATAAATAAATAACCTGTGGGTGGGGAAAAGGCATGACCATGAGCTCGAGAGCCAAATTTAGCCCAGAGTGTCAGTTTCCACACTCCTGAGGTTGAAGATTGCTCTTTTATACTGATTTCACGGATGACAACTCACACATTTCCACCTTTTATGCCATACCTCCCCCACCTTTCCAGTTTGTTTTCTGTTTTCTTATATTGTAAGCTCCTTGGGGCAGGGATCTGTCCTTTTGTATGCTGTAAAGCCCTCTGCATGTTGACAAGTATATCCTAGGAAGCGGCCACATACAAGGTCAACACCCTTCTTGAAAGTTTAACACCCTCTTCTCACAAGTCAGGGAGCACAACAGGATCCAAATGTTGCCGAAGGAAGTTTGCCCAGTAAAGCCGGCCTGGATTTCGTACTGAGTTGGGAAACGCAGAACACATAAAATAATAGTATAGCAGTTGTACAATCACAGTGTATCTATAGCGAGATACAGATGGTGAGTTTTAGCACAGTGGTCTGTGGACAGACCAGGTCCGGAATGCAGGGTTTGAAAAGGACACGGAATGCAGCAAATTGTATTTCACGTTTGATTTTAACCATCCTTAGACGATGCGTATTGATTGAAATACGGTGGGTGCGAGGGAGGGAGCTCTGTTGATCAATACTTTGCTGGGTTGGCCTAGCTAGTCAGCACATGCTGGCAAACAGCCACGGTGGGAGAGAGAAGGAAGGCCTTTGGTCAGAAGACTTTTCTATCCGGGAGAAGATACAGGGCTTCTCTTAGCCTAAATAACCATTTTGGAGACTCGTTTCTGAGGATGGTTTTCCAGCTGCGCCAACTCTGGGCTGGACATGCCCTGGCCGAGGTCTTTTGCACCTTAAAACATCACATCAGGGCTGGGCTTCTGCAATTCCTTATAGGCAGCAGCGCCTGGGCAGCATCCCAAAAGCTCCAGATGTTGGCAGCAGCATTGCCCAGGGATAGAATGCCTGCTTGGCACAGGGAAAGCCCCAAGCTTGATCCCAGCATCTCCATGCACAGGTGGAAAACCCCCGCCTGACGCCCTGGGGAGCCGCTGCTGCCAGCCCGTGCCGGCAAAACCGGACTAGATGGACCAGCCGCCTCCCAGCCTGCTCAGCTCGCTTTGCCAAGCGGTCCCTCTCAGGACAAAAGCTACTCCGGGTGGCAGGAGTGTGCTCCAGCGCTGCTTTTCCTCGCAAGGGGACTTGAAGCACTGTGTCTCCCGTTTTCCTTTTCTAGGGGCCACTTCCCAAGAGGGTCCTGCCTTCTGGCACCTTGCCAATGCCAGCACATCCCTGGGGGGGGGGGCAGCTGTGGTGGTCTGCAATTGACATGGGGGCACAGTCTCACTGAAACTGCCCCCCAGTTGGATAGGGCGCTGGCCCCTCCGGGATTACTAGACAAGCGCAGCGGTGCTGGGCATCTCCATCTGCCATGATATGGCCAAGTTCATCAAGGTTTGGGGCAGGGAATCGGGGCCGGGAAGGGGCCTTGATGGTTCAACAGGGCAATCAATATGCCCCCCCCCCCCCCAGGCTTAGTTGCCAATGCAAATTCCTTCTCATCTGGCCAGGGGCAATTCCCAGCAACAGGTTGTTCTCGGAGCTGCTTGGCAGCTCCTGGATGCAAGGAACCACCCGGTTTTCTGCTGTGGGAGGTGACGCACCCCGCTTTCAGGCCGGTGTGGGAACGATGCGGGGGCTCCTGGAGGAGGGGGAGGAGGGGAGGGGTGGGGGGGAAGGAGGGAGCAATGAGCCCCTCACAGCACTTGTTCCTGGGACCGGCTGGAAATGATCTGGGGAAGCCTTTGCCCCTTCGCCAAGCAAAATGGCTGTGCTTCTTGCAAGGCGAGGACAGATCACCACCTGGTGGCGAAAGTCTGCAGGGAGCAGAAACACGGCATCTCGGTGTCCTCCAGTTGCTTTGGATGAGAATGCTCGGCATTACTGATCATTGGCCTGCTGCTGGCTGGGGCTAATGGGAGGCGAAGTCCTAAATGTCTGAGGGGGCAGCAGCTTGGGCGAGCCATCTCAGCTATGGAGGGGGCTTTGCTGATGGGAGACCAACGTTTCCTCCAGGTCCTTTCCGGTCAGGCTGCTGTTGGCTTCACACCTCGTATGCTGCCTCAGCTGAGCAGTTGGACTGCAGATCCCAACAGCCCAAGCCAGCACAGCCGATAGTGAGGGATGATGGGTATTGTAGTCCAACATCATCTCGAGGGCCCCATTTTCCTCATCGCTGGTCTGCACCAAGGGGAAGCGGTTCCCAAGAAGACATCTTGGCAAGTCCTCCATACCCCAGCGATTGAGCTGGGTGAAGCTGAGGGCTGAGGCTGATGGGCACTGTAAGATGGGATCTGGAGCTGTCCACTCGGGATCAAGCAGGCGGCCAGCCCATTTCTGCCAGGGATCCAGCAAGGGACTCAAAGCACACTGTAGAACCACAACTGGGGAAAAAGATCACAACAGACGCCGGAAGTAACGTGTTCGTATGGAATGGTTTTTATTATAGTTTAATCTCACAGTTGGCAGTATTATATGAGCAGATAAAGCACTAGACAAGACTGGAAAAGGCCTCTGGAGACAGCATGCAAACACCGTTTTAAGCAAAACAATTCCCACATCGTCCTGGTGGTTCTGCAGTTTTAAACTCACCCTGCCTTCCTTCGGTTGGGGGGGATGAGCGAGTTTGCCATGTTTGTAGCATGTGTGTTTGTATGTGTGTTCATTTTTTTAAAACCTTTTTTTATCATTACATTAAAAAATAAGATTTGTAACTTTAGTAAAACCCAGCAAAATGGCTGATTCCTGGAGCAGTAGGAAATAATAATTAAAAAACTAACCAAAGTAAAAACTGAACAATAAGCAGTCAAAAAAAAACAGAACAAAACAGAGAAAAAGATACTGGATTGGTAATTTGGGTATTTTCCAGCAGTTCTGGGAGTGACTGAGAAGGCCAGGAAAAGTATCCTCATCTCCCCCTCACCCCGCTGACACTGCCCCCCGCTCGCCTCCCCCGAGCCGCTTCGGCGTGCGCCCCCTTCCATTCCTCCCAGTGAGGACTGGGAACGCCCACTAGGGCTCGAGGGCGAAGTTAACGGTGGGTGGAAGGGGCAGGCCGTCCTGCGAGAGAGGAGGGCGGACCGGAGCGTGTTCGGGAGGTGAAGACCTGCCCCGACCCGGCGGCTTGGGATTCCTACGGGCCTGGGGAGCAGAGCGGGGAGAGAGTGCCGCTTCCGCCATCTCGTCTTGCTCGGGCATCTCCAGGATGACCTCTGCTGAAAAGGGACACGATAGCCTTCCTGCAGGGGGAAGGAGGCGGACGACACCCCGTCCACTCGCCGGGTTGCGGAGGGGATATGCGCAGTCCGAGATGCTTCTCTAAGTACAGTCCCTTGAATTCTGATTCCTGAAATAAACCCAAACAAAATCGCTCCGCTCGGTCCCTACGCTGACACACGTGCACAGGAGGTGGATCACAGGAAGTGATGGGAGGAGGAGGAGGAGGAGGAGGAGGAGGCGTGTCCAGAGGAAGCCCCGCCCCTCCCATCTACCTCACAGGTAGAGTTCCTTGGCTTTGATATGCTCTAGCTGTTCCCGTAATTGGTGGAAAGAAGGCCGGTGCGTGGGGTCCAAGTTCCAGCACGTTTTCATCACCTCGTAGACCACTGCAGGGCAGCCGTCGGGGGCGTCCATCTTGTACCCCTTCTCAACGCGAGGAACTACATCTTTCAGAGGCTGGGGCGGGGGAGAAAACACAAGGCCCTTAAAAATGGAAGAGCAAGAAGACCCTAAAGGTTCCCGTCTTCATTTCAGTCCTCCCCAGGGGAAGCAGAGACAATCCGCTTTGTCCTGTGTGGGCATTTCAAGGTCCCGTATTAGTGTGTGAAGCTGCTACTCTCATCTATTTATTTAAAACTTTTGTCCCGAATGCCTCTGGACGGCACTGGGTTCTGAACAACAAGCCTCTGCCATCACTGCCTCGTTGCTTCCCCCAAAAATCTAACCCGGTGGGGCCTAAGAAAGAACATGCCACCAGGTCCAAGAGCCACGAAGGGCAGTGGACTGCACATGCGAAGGTTTTGAGGTTGTTTCCCCAACATCTGCAAACCACTGGATTCTTCCACAGACCCAACTTACAATTCTTGGATAAGGCACTCGACCGAAGGAGTAGATTTCCCAGAGAAGTATCCCAAAGCTCCATACATCCGACTTGGTGGAAAAATTCTGCCAAGATAAAAGAACAGTTCATTGTCAAAGCCGGGGGGCCAAACACAGAGAAAGGGGGGCCAAGCGAGCAGGAGCAGGAGACCAGAATTTGCCCGGTCTGCCTCCTCCAAGGCCTCTGGGCTTTAGTTCCGCCCAAAGGCATTGAATTCCCCAGGGACCATTCCTTGGTATGGAAATCAAACTGCCCGAGTTCTCTTTGCGCCCCCGACAGCCGTCCGCATGATCGCTTTCGCCACTTCCTCAGCTCCTGGGGAGCATCTCCCTCTTTAAGAAGCAGCTGAAGGGCGTCCTGCGAATTTTCTCAGCCCTGACTGCCCAGGTAACCTAAGAGCCGAGCATAATTCCCCCCATTCCAAATGCAGCCCCCACTACGAGTCGGGGCCTCTCCTAGCCTGTGCGAGTGCAGTCAAAGCAAGCGGTATTGAGCAGTCACAGGGACCGGGGAGGACCACCGAGCCAAGCATCCTTGCTTGCCCTGATCCAGCCCAATTTCTCCTGATTTGGTCTGGATTCCCCCACCCCCATTCTAAAAGCCTTCTCCAAGGGCTTGGCTGACCGGCTTTTAAGCCAGCGCTTCATCAGAGCTTCAAGCTAAAATATCCTGTTTTGGTCCCTGCCCGTTCTGCGTTCAGGCCGACCTTCCGTGCCGTCAGCTGCACCCACCGCCGCCACGTGGCTGGCGAGAGATTCTCCCAGTGCAACTTGGCCCTCGGACGGAGGGAGGGTCTGCACCCCTGGCAGAAAGGGGCTTTGCTTAAGCCATAGCTTCTCCTGGCCAGGGCGCGTCCTCCGAGCCGCAGCCTCCTTCCCCGGCCCCCAAGGCCTGGCACCCTCTCTGAGCTGAGCCCTGTTCCAGTTCTGAAGGAGCGGCGCATGCTTCCGGAGCCTTAGACGCTGGCTCTCCAGGCTGTCTGCACTGCCGGCGGAGCCACAGAATGCATCTTAAGGGGCAGCTGAGGACTCTGTGGAAAACGCACGGGATAGCAGGAGCAACACGGAAAAGAAAGCCCAAGAATGGTCATGACCAGCCGGGGGAGAACGAGGTGAGGGTTTCCCCACGTTTCCTCTGTGGAGGCGTGTAAATCCCAAGCGGATTCCATATCCAGCTGAGAGGAGCGCCTCTCCTCCTCTTCTGGAGGTTGGGGTGGGAAACCACGGTGGGACCCCTGGCAGGGGTGGAGGCCACGGGCTGAGCACGCCACTCCTGCATCGGATCAACTGCACCGGAAGGAGGCCGCTGCCGCTGCCACCGCGGGTCTGGATCAGGCCCACAGGCCGCACTCACCTTCTCTCTAAGTGCTTCTGGCGCCGTCCATTTCACCGGTAGCTTGCCCGTATCCTGGGTGCAAGAGGCTTCTTTCGTCAGCCCGAAATCACTGACTTTGGCGATGTTGTCCTCCGAGACCAGCACGTTCCGCGCTGCCAGGTCTCGATGAACGAAGTTGTTGGCCTCCAGGTACGCCATGGCTTCGCAGACGTCTCTGTGGAAAGAGAGCGAGCTGTGGGGGCTGGCAGGGGAGCGGGGGCCCTGAGAAAGGGGGACACCCCAGCTGAGTTCTTTCCTATGGTGGAGCTGGGGGGTCTGGTTGTCACCTCTAGGTTTTTGGAGCATCCTTGCCCGGCCGTCTCTCGAAAAGGAGAATCGAGCCTTTGGCTTCATCTTGCTGCTGTTTTTCTGCACAGCGCTCGGTTCTTGTGTGTTTTTAAACAAGGCATTTCTAGAGGCCACTCCGGATTTCAGCCCCCCCCCCCCCACCCAGCATGGAAAGCAATCCGTGGTCGCACCCACTCCTTGCGGCAAAAGGCACATTAATTCCCCCAGTATCCAAATCCTTGCCAGGACAGTGTTTCATAGAACAATGATCTCACATCTCCACTCAGATTTGCTAAGGTTAGAGAGGCAGATGGGTTAGAGATTCCCTTTTGTTGCCAGTTTTTAATAAATATACAGAATTAAGAGTGTGCTTGGACTGGTCCTGGAACTGGGCTAGAGAATGCCATGAAACCAAGTCTAGTGCCGTTCTTTAAAGCGTGTATTAACGTGGCAACACGATTCCATATTCTGGCCATGAGGCCACGCCATGCTTTCTGTGCCGGACTTCCCTTGCAGGCAATCCAGAACCCTTCTGCCCATGTACTGACAGGGAAGTGAAACCTGAGCATAGTTTTGCAGTCTCTGCACTGGGCCCAATTTGCGGTATTAGTACTAGCATATGAACCTCTGAGCAGAACAGGATCTGTTACCAGGCCAGGCGACCCCGACAATGACCAGCCTGGGCATCAAGATCAGCCGGGGGGACTCCGCTTGTGCTGCCCTTGTGGAAAACAGCTTTTGTGGCCGCCACACATCGCAGGGCCTTGTTGGTGGCTGCACCCTGGTGCTGGAACTCTCCCCCAGGCGAGATATGGCCCCTGCACTGTTGCCACTTCGCTGCCAGTTAAAGATCTAATTATTTCTGCAGGCTTTGGGGGTAGAAGCAAACCTCTTGTTTGTTTTTAATGACTCATCGGTTGTGTAGATGGCTTTACTCTCTCCTGTTCCAAGTTTGGTACTTTAGAGCCATGACTTCAATGCACTTTGTGCCTTAAATAGGCTGTTGTCTGTCCCGGGCATTGGCAAGGAAGAATGGGAGATAGATCAAATAAAGGAATAAACAATGGCAAATGATAAAGAGCAAAACTTTGCAGCCAGCCAAAGTCACACATGCGCAACGTGTTGCTTGTGCAAGCACGGAACCGGCATGTCGGGCTTTACACGGAACGCAGAGCAGCAGCTGAGGTGCCCACTTACAAGGAGAATTTTAGCAGGCATTCTCCACCCAGCACAGACCTCCCTCGAGAGCGAAGGTAATCGACTAAGCTTCCCTGCAAACAAAGAGAAGGGAGGTGCGGGGAGGAGACAGGATTAGTGACGGGAGCAAATTCGGATCACCGCTCCCCCAGTCCAGAAATCCACAGCCTCTCAGGAAAAGGAACAGGCCCAGTAAAAACAGAGACCCGTGAGGCCTCTCCAAGCCCTTCTGCAAGGCTAAATTCTCATTCGTGCATCCGCCAGTGTGGTGCCGCGATCGGGACTTCAGAGCCCATTTGGCAAGAAGCTCAGCGGGTGACTGAGTGAAGGTAAGTTGTGGGGCTTGGTGGGAGTGGCGCTCGCCCCCACGAAGCAGGAGGCATTCTCCACGTGTCTTGTCAGACCCCGGTTCGCCCCAGCAGCAAACATTTCACCGCCCGAGTCAGCCAGCCAAGTAAAATATTTTAAGAGGACGGACGCAAGATGCCAAGAGTCACGCATCGGGAAGTGCACTCTTATGGCCCAGACAGAGCCAGACGTTGCCAGTCTATCCCATCCATCCCACCGTCCTGGACAGCAAGAGAAACGAAACTCCACATTGGAAGGGCACGTTCTAACCACGACAATCCCCAAAAGGGGTGTCCAAAAACTGAGGCTGCAGTGCAGGTTCAATTCACCAGTTCCGTTCTAGCAGTTCATAGAATCACTGAATGGTAGAGTTGGAAGGGGCCATGAAGGCCATCAGGTCCAACCCCCTGCTGTTGCAGGACGCCAAGTCACACACCCCACTCAGAGGGCTGTCCAGTTTTGCCTTGAATGCCCCCAGTGGGGGAGAGCCCCCCCACCTCCCCAGGCAGCTGGTTCCCCTGCCGTATTGCTCTGACCGTGAGGAAGCTTCTCCTGATGTCCAGCCTGAATCTGGGTTGTTGCAGCTTGACTTGATTATTCCGTGTCCTGCACTCTGGCATCAGCAGGAAGAGATCTCAGCCTTCCTCTTTGTGGCAGCCTTTGAGGCCTTTATAGAGGGATCTCATGTCCCCCTCAGTCTTCTCTTCTCAAGGCTGAACATGCCCAGTTTTCTCAGTCTCTCATCACAGGGCAGTGTTTCCAAACCCTGGGTCATTTTTATTGCCCCCTCTAGATCCTTTCTAATCTTTCTCCATCTTTCTTAAATTCCCCCTCTCTTGAATTTCCAAATTCCTTTCCTAAGTTTTCACCTCCATCACGAGCAGTCCTTTTTCAAAGCTCATCTATCGTAGTTGCTCCTACAAGAGCAAGCCATGCAGGAACACTGCACAACACAGACGGGAATCTATTTCCTTCTGGTGATTTTAATCTCTCCCCTGCTACTGTGAGGACTGCAGCAAATGATCAGTGAGCTGGGAACGGTGAAGGGGTGGCGGAAGATGCCAGCAGCCTTGACTGCAAAGAAGCGCTGGCACGACGTCCCTGTGGACCCAGGTGCCACTACGCCACTGCCTTCAGGGCCACGAGCAAGCAGCAGAGTGCAGTCTCTCCACCACAGTGGCAGGGATGTGCCCCCCCCCCCGAAAGGAAGCCCCGTGAGATGCTAAGGAGCGCTCCGAAAAGGAGTGCTCTGGCGCAGCACCGAGGCAGGAGGAAAGCAGAGGGGGAAACAGCTTCTTGCAAGAACCATGGCTGAGCATGAGGAAGAGGAACAGACGCGAAGTAAGGAGGACCAAAAAGGGGACCCCAGACCAGAGCCTGTGTTTGAGTCTTGCAGCCCCGGCTGGGGTGGCCCACGAGACACCACGGGTGCAGCTCTGTTTCTAGGACAAGAATCGCCTGGAGGGGGCGGTCCAGGAGCCTCTGGCCACCCAGCAAGTGCCCGGCAGCTCCTACCTTGGCCATGTATTCTGTGACGATGTAGAGACCGCCCTTCTCCTCCACAATCACCCCCAGCATTTGCACGAGATTGCTGTGCCGCAGCTGCCTGCAAAATCGAGACACACAAACACAGAAACTGAGCGAGGCAGAAGGGGTCTCCCGGGCCATCTAGTCTGACCCCTGGCTCCAGCCGGCTCCGCTCACGACATGCCCACCATGTGGACGTCCAGCCTATCCTTGAACACCCTCACCGATGGGGCCTCAGCCACCTCCCGGGGAAGCCCGTTCCACACCCTCGGGGTCCTGACTGCCAGGAAGTGCTTCCTGGCATCCAAATTGAACCTTGGTTCCCTGAGCTTGGCTCCGCTGGAGCGCGTCCCACCTTCCTCCGCAGGGGAGAACAGGTCTCTCCAAAACAGGCTGGAGTGCAGAGGACAGATAAGAAAGACCAGCGCCCACCAATGAAAGTGCATCTCTGTGGCTTCCTGATGCATCATCCCCCTTAACGACATTCTGGAATCAACTCAAAATCATGGTTTGGGAGGAGCCAATCCTGCCAATTCATGCACCACCGTTCGTGCTCCGTGCTCTGCTATTTTTAAAGGAGTTGCTTTGTTTCATTTTTGAGTATCAAAGAAAGTGGCTTCGATATCAATACTTTAAAGAATTCGGTATACCCTTTCAGGAGCCTTGGGTGAAAAGCAGTCGATCAGTCTGCCGAAGAAAATTAATTCAGGAAATATTCTCCAAACCCTTTCAAGTCCAGTTTAGAATTAGTTATGGGAACTAAATTACTCCGCATAACATAATCGGATGGTGATGGGTTAACTTTGGAAATCTGCGTCAAAGATTAGTGGGACAGGAGGGGAAAGGAGCCTTGTGGGCAGGGGCGTTGAGGGTCCTTTGGAGTAAATTAAGCTTGAACGGGGGTCTTGGGATACCAGGTTAGGAGGCTTCAATTCAAGGAAATGCTCCAAAAATAATCTAATCCAAATCCTGCCCTCACAGAAGAAGTCCACTCTGACCCCGAGGGCTGCACTTTCAGAAATCCAGGCGCTTCTGTCCATTCCCCCGCTCAGCAGAGACTGGAGATAAACGCCTCCATTCCCACGCCAGCTCTCTCTCTGGTTTCCCCGGGGTTTCTCTTGCTAGTGCAAGGACCCTCTGATCTCCGAGACGGGAGAATACGGAAGGGAGACCTTTGCTCATTCTGGCATGGGAACTGCCTGCCTTCCTCCCCTCTCTTACTGGGGACTGGAGCCAAAGGAAGGGAATCCTTGCTAATATTAGCACAGGAAATCCCAGGCTGCCAATGCCATCCCGGGCTCGAAGCAACGACAGTCTTCCACCACACTTTTTCCAGGGCAGGGAGAGGCGAGAACAGCGGCACCTGCACCTCCCGAACCCCCATTCCTCGTCCTGGAAGTCCTCACCTTGGAAAAACCAGTTTAACTACCGTGGCTTTCCCCAGGGACGTTCTCAGTTTGCAATCTGGGACCCTCAGCCACAGGTCGCGACTTCAAGGCTGCTTTGCAGGGGAAGCCGGGGCAGTTCAGCCAACCTCAGCCCGGCGGGCAAGCTCCTGTCCCTCCCACTCGCCCGCCCTCCGTCAGGGCGGTGCTGCCGGCACTCACGTCATCACCGAGGCCTCGGCCAGGAAGGCCTGCGCAGTGGCGTCGTTTTTAATGCACTTCACAGCAACCTTGTTCCCATGGTAGTCGCCGAGCATCACGTCTGCAAGAGGAGGACAGGCCGAGGTTCGGGATGGGAGACACGGATGTTCCTGCACAAGGGTCCCTCGAGCCAAGCATACTGTTTCCAACAGTGAGCAGCCAAGCCGCTCCAGGGAAGCCAGCTGCCCCTGCGGTCAAGCTGGGCTCCGACCCTCGTCTCCTGGAGAAATTCGCCAGTGCACTCCGAAGTCTGGATCCCCCCAGCGTGAAGAGGAAAGAGGAAAGGGAGAGGAAAGAGACACGGCCTGCCATCCCGGACGACTCACCTCCAAACTCGCCTTTGCCGATCGTCTGCAGCAGCTTCAAGTCCTTCATGTTGAGCGACCATCCGCCTGGGAGGAGGGGGAGACACGAGGAAGACCGTGAAGGCAGCGCCACCCCACAAGGTGCCCAAAGGCCCCAGCCCATCCTCCTGCGGGACTCACTGCGCGAGAACTCGTCCTGAGCAGCTACGGTGCCCTCCATGACCTTTGGTTTCATGAGACGCGTGCAGAGTCCATCAGCGTCCGAAGTGTAGTGCTGCCATTGCGGACAGAGGAGGGGGAGAGGAAGAGAGCTTGTGTTCACATTTCCACGCCAGCAACATGATTTCATGGACCGTATCCAGGCTTCATTCCCGAGTAAAATCCACGGGACAAAGTTGGGCCTGACTAGCTGCGGCCCCACGGACTCCAAGGGGACTCAGCTGGTCCAACGAGCCACATGGCCCCACACAGGCGTCCTCGGGACCGCTCCACTGCACCGAATTGTGGCCTTAGCCTGGATCCAACCCCAGCAAGCTTCAAGTACGTCTACTGCTTTAACATATTGATTAATTAATTGGCTTGCTGCTTAAATGGCATAACACCTCTGAACAGTCCATATACAGACATTAAATTTGATTTCAAATATCATCATCATCATCATCATCATCATCATCAATACCCTGACTCTCCTCCTCTAGCAAGAAACTCAAGGAGTCTTACAAAGCTCTCTTCCTCACCACTTTATCCTCACAACAGCAACCCTGCGAGGTAGGCTAGGCAGAGAGGCAGTGTCGGGCCAACGTCACCCAGCGATCGTAGCGAAGGCCAATCCTGCTAAACCACAACCCCTCTTTGGTTCTCCAGTATTAAATCATGGAAACTGAATGCAGTACTCAGACCCATTTCGATCAGAAGAATGCAGAACCTTTGCCTGCAACACTCAAGCCGCACGATCGATCCAAGCAGAATCATGTAAACTGGAGAACGCCTGGGTGATCGAGTGCACCTCCAGGAGGCATCTGCAACATGCTGCGTCTTCCGATTCCTGACCTGCGTGGGGAAGGGTCTTCCCGGGGGGGGGCACCGCTACTAAAAAGGCCCACCCTGGAGGCGACGTCGGTCTCCTCCGATGATCTGAAACATCACTCAGACTGCAAGTGCTGCCACACCGAGCTGAATAATCACGATTCATATCTGATCCCTTCCATCACCCAGAAGGTTTGATTCTCGAGTTCCTTTTCACGCAGGCACATGGAACAGTTACGCCTGCTCCTTGGGCCATTTTAAGAGGTGGCTTCCAGCCTGTGCATGGATGGGCATCATCCATGCAGCCTGGACCTCGACCAGCCGCCCAGGAAGCAGGGGCCATGACTCTGCAAGCAGGGAGCAACCCAGGCCGGCAACGAAAGAACCTCGTCTTCCCTTCCCTGCCAGAAAGAACGCCTCTGGGAACACCGAGGCTCACAACGTGCGCCCGAGTTTGCATGACTCCTCCTCGCCCAGTTCCTTTCTTCCTTTTGCGTTGTGCCATTTAAGACTAAGCCAGAGAGCAGAGTCTGTCCGAAGGGTACTCTGCGTAAGATCCTCTGGGTGGAAAAGCACACGTAAAAACCCAGAAAATAAAATAAAGTACTCCGGGTAGGCCTTTTCCTTCCTGCTTCGGATCAGGGTGCAACGTTCAGTCCACAGCATCTCTGGACAGGCCTGGGCTGGAGACCCCTGCCTGAGATGCCGGGAGCTGCTGGCCGTCCGTGCAGAGGACCCGGTGCTCGGCAGCTTCCTGCGCTCCCGGCACCGAGAAGATCCTCCATCCGTTTGCGCACCAGGACCAGTTCCCATGGCGCGGTCTCCCCACGAGGGGGCGCCACGAGGCCGAGCTCAGCTCCCCGCAGCTTCACCCCGCTGAGAGCTTGGCTTCTGGTTTGCACCATCTTTGCACCCAGCAAGAGGAAAACAGCAGTTCCCGTGGGGCAGATGATTCCTCTCCCCTCGACCCCAAGGGGATGCTGCCCGGATGCGCTGGACTGCAAATCCCATCATCTCCTGCTGGCTGGGGGTGATAGGAGTCGGGGGAGAGATCTAGGCTTGCTGAAGCTTGCAAAGCTAGTTGGCTGGTAAGTTGTGCCCCTCGTGAAGCTAGGCTGGTGTTAACTGTCGTAATAACAACCCTGAGACATAGTGAAGGGCGGGATACGCAAGCTTGAAATAAATAATATAAATAAATAACAGCAACACTGCTCAAACCACAGAATCTTTGCACAGGGCACTGGACCAAGCACAAAAAGAACAGGTCTCTGCCCCAGGCGTCTTACAAGCCAGAGGCACACAGGAGAGACCAGAGATAGGAGCAAAGGGCCAAAGAACAGAGACAGGAGAGGAATACCGGACGGGCAGCCCTAACCATTGGCCACGGTGTCAAATTCCAAGGCATTGCGAGGGCACCAGGTTGGGGAAGGCAGGCTGCGTCTCCCTCGAGCTGTCCATCACGCCCTGCACCACCGTTACCAGCTTGCATGTTGCCCCGCCCACCGAAACCGGACCCGCACCAACTGCATTTTCAGAATTGCTCACAGCGTCTTCCTGTCTCTGCCGAACCATGTCAAAGACAGGAAATATTCTGCATGTCTGAACTTCACAGACTGTGACCAAGCAGCCTGGCGCATGCCCGCCCACACACACGCACGCACGCGCACGCCAGACCGGCAGGCAGGCAGGCAGGGACAGACGGAGCGCGCGCAAGGGTGCGTGCGCCTGTGGGTGGCTATGCACAAGCCATCTGACCAAAGCGCCCCCCCCCCCGCACTGAGCCGAGGCAGCCAGGAATGGCGAACAAGCAGCGCTGCAGTGGGACCGGGGCCCACAGGGCCGAAGCGGGGGCCTTTTTACCCGCAGGGACAACGCCAGCGCCTTCCCTGCTTCGGGCTTCCCTGCTGCTTCTGAGCCCAGTGGCGAAGCTCCCCGCAGCTGTGGAAGGGACGCCATTTGTCCAGCTGTGGTCATGCCATGGGCTTTGGGGTGGCTCGCTCTTGCACAAGAGAGCGAGCGAGCGAGCGAGCAACACGTCTCTCCAAAGCTGGGACTCGACACAGGGTCTCTCCCAGCAAGACCAGTCCTTCAGAACTGACTGTCACACACCACCACAGCAGCAACCACTCCCTTCCCCGGGGACAGTCGCACAGGCCGTCCAGGGGAACGTCAAGCCACGGTGGAGGGTGACCTGAGACAGGGCCTTTTCGGGGGCTGCCCCAAGTTTTGCTGAATAACTGGGAAGTACCGGTGGCCCCAGTCTCTGGATGCCTTTGGCCGAGAAGGCTTTTGGAACCCAGCAAGCTTTTGCTGCCAGACTGCCTCCCTCCGCGGTCTCTGCTTGGCACCACTGTACACACACACACACACACACACACACACACACACACACACACACGTGTGCGTGAAACATAGTGTACTGGGGTTGGCAGTGGCGTGAACTGCCTGAGCACTGTCGAGGCACCAGAAGAGCTGGATATCTAGTTTACAGATAAAGAAAGCGTAAATTGTTCCATCCATCCGTGGGCATCTGACTGCTGCCGGATGCGCCGGCGTGTCCCCCGGACCAGCGTGGAGCGTAGCGCAGCGGGAGTGAACGGGAAGGGGGGAGCGATACATGCAAACGAGCAGATGGAAGATCTGAAAGGCAGATTTCCATCCAAATGCAGTCGAGGTTGCTAAGGAAGGTGCTAAGCCAGCCACTGAGGATAGGCAGGCGCTCGCTCGGCGTGCGCTACCCCCTCTGGCTCCAGGGCTCCGGCGGGGCTGAGCACCACTTCTCTCTCACTGATCTGAGCTGCCGACCACAGTTCGGAAACAGGTCACCCACTCCGCACACCGAAGGCCTCCAGATTCCCACTGTGGCATAGCTGGACAGGGATGCTGGAGAAAGCCAGACCAGCCTGAAACGAGCTCTGAATTCCTAGGAATCTTAACCTGCAGACTCCTCCGTGACCAGCTTTTCACAGTTCTGCAAACCTGCGGACCACGTTTTGTAATGTTGCGTAATTTTCCCCACATTCGGTCACAGAAAAATGCAAAAACTAGAAACCTGCAGACCTAGACTTTGCCTTCCCCCATGGACGAAAGCCTCAAAGTACGCATTTTGGGGGAGTGCACTTGTGCAAAAAAGCGTATTTGTGCAGCTCCGAGTTGACACAACAATCGACGCACTCATGCAAAATCGGATGCCATCACTGCGAGGATGATGGAATTGAAGTTGCCTGAGGGGTCTTGAATACGCCTCTGTTCACCTGCGTGAGCCTGCCTGTTTACACAACGGAGATGACGTGGGGAAGCGCTGCCCGCACATCCCTCGCCCATCCGCGCCCACCTCCGGCCACTCCGACGCGGGCTCCGGAGGGGTGCTCAGCCTCACCTCCACCAGCTGCATGAGGTTCTCGAAGTACACCTCCTCGTCGATGCTGAGCTTGCTGGAGGAGTAGATGATGCGGTAATGCTCCACCTTCCCTTCGCAGCTGACGCAGAGCGTGTAGTCGCCCGGGTAGTTGGTGCTCTCGCGCACCAGGAAGAGGCCTGTCTCGGGAGGGTAGAGCAGCCTCTCCGCCTGCTCCCGCGTAATCTTCCCGTGGAACCAGCTGGGGACGAGAGGGGCGGGGAGAGATTTGGGGGTGCTGAGAGGGAGACAGCTTGGGCATGGGGCTGGGGCGGCTTGCATGGCACCCACGCTGCGCCCAAGCTCTTGTGCAGTGCTCGCCGTGTGCGCTCCGGGGAGGACACGGGCTGGCAGCTCTGGGCAGGGTCCCTTCCCAACCCCCCCAGACAGAACTGGGGAGCCTCCGCGGGTAAACACAGGCGGTGCGAACCAGCAACATTTCCCAGATCAAGCCTGCATCAAACTGAACTTTGGTGTTTGGTTTTTTTACATGGGAATCTGTGTGTCTTTCCCCTGATGCAAGCCTCAACTGTGCCCATCTCAGAAATGGGCACACGCTTTGCACACTGATTAAAGCATGTTCATGTGAACCCTTCCAAAGTGCACACGTTCCCATCCCAGGGCGCACATGCGGCTGAGCTTTTTTCCCTCTCCTTGGCCCATGCCTCACCCTGCCAGCTGGAAAAAGCACCCCAGATCGGATCGGAGGCTGCATTCAGCCCAGAAGGTGTGAACGGGGCAAACCCTGGCCAAAAACAGCCGAAAGTCACCTCCGATACAGCCCCAGCGCAGGGCAGGGACTCTACCACTAACCCGCAGCACCACGGGGCACCTCTCCCAGTCCTACTCACGGCATCAGGCTGAGCTTGATTCCAGCTTTCACGCCTTCCCGTTTCTGCACGTAGTTGGCCGGGATGATCCCCTCACGGCCCACCTTGTTTTTCGCTTTGTACCAGTTCGGATCCTGGGGATGGAAACAGTCGTGAGCACCAGCGGGTGAGTCAAGCGCAAGAGGGGCTGCTCCCCCCTCCAAAGCCAGGCAGTCGGCGGGCAAGCGCCCCTCCTGCTCAGCGTGCGCCCCTCCCAGCGGCTTTCTCTCTGAGGCTGCGCCCACGGCTCCCCGCCGTGCTTCCGCCATGGGGTCACACGGTCCTGGCCTCTCCCCGTGGCTCCTCTTCGTCTCCTGGCCTCGGAGGCAGAGAGAGGGCCAAGGCGGCCAGGAAAGCTGGGGAAACGTGGCGCGGCCCTCGTGGGAGAGGGCACCTCTGGCAGCCCATGCCAGGCCCCACGGCTGCTCCGCTCTTTTCCAGTGAAAATGCCCCAGGGGAGGCAGCATGTCCCATCGGTCAGAGCTACCCACGGCTCCCTCACAGGGTACCAGCAAAGGACGGATGGCAGGGGTGGGGAACAGCTGGCTCACGCAGCCCCCACTCCCCCTGCAATGGCACCCGTAGCTGCCAAGGCACGGCCAGAGAGTCAAGGTGAGCTTACCTGCAAGCAAAATTTGACCCTTGGGACAAACCTGGAGCTTCGTTACCTTTTAAAAACCTTTAGCTTTGCTTCCATTGAGTCTTGGTTTGGCTGCACCCAAAGAGAGGAGGGGTGGGGAGCACCCCCCTCCACCGACCTCCCACTGTGGCCCACACCTGATTTGTAGGAAATGCCCAGATCCCACCTACAACCAGGTGGGAGTGGATGGGCCGCTCGCATCCAGAGAGCCCGCATCAAGTGCAGACAGCGCTCTGCTGTTCCGGGCACGGAGTGATGGCAAGCCACGCAGCTCCTCTCGCTGGGACCTGACCGACTGACTCACTTTCCAAAGGAACTTTAAATAACACTCGCTCTTAATTAAAATGCATGGCACTTCCCTTCCCCTTCCCAGGCTGCTGAGGAGAAAGGCAAGGCCACCGCTGTACAGGGAACCTGCTGGAAGGTGCAGATGTAAACAATGTTTCATAGCAGGCTCCAAAAGGTTGTGCTCGTGAGAAGCCTTTCGAATGACCCTCCTTCCCCAAACACCGATGCTGATGAGGAAGCCTTGGAGCAAAGGCCTTGCCAGGCAGCCCACTTTGTCCAGGTACCCCGACACCTGGGGGTCATTTCCACGTGCAGATGGGGGGCTGCCCGATTCCATTTTATGCGAATGAGCGCAACATTCCTGCCTGTTTTCAGCAAAGCAATCCAGTTTTTCTTTTCTGCCTACAGAACTGGGGGTCCTCAGATCTGGCTAGGACCACCTCTCCACGCTCACCCACTGCCTGCCACTGTGCTATACTGGTCCCAGTGCCGTGGGTGACACAGCCCTCCGAAGACATCTGGAAGTGTGCAAAGGCTCACATCCTGGCAGGCAGGGACTGCACTGGGACCCACAGAGCAGCTGGCACTGCCCCAGGGCCCTATTCCGGGCACCCCCAGCTCCAGAGGTGGAGTGGGCAGCTCCTGGAAGCAGGGCCTTCTTTGCCGTGGCCTCCAGGCGGCCCTTCACTCTCCATCCAGCTGCATGTGTGACTGATCTCCTGGGTGCCAGTTCAGGACTTGTTCTCAGGTGGGATCCGACACACACAAGGGTTCATTTGTATTTTACTGGACGTGCTTTGCTGTAACATGTGACTAGTTAGAAATACGCGATGCAAGCAGTCCTAGGAATATTCCAGGAATGCTTCGAATGTGGCAAGGTGCACAGCATTGAGTGGATGATGGCTTTTCTCGCAGCTAGAGAAGCCAAAGGTCTCGGGCAGGGATGGCGAACCTTTGAGAGACCGAGTGCCCACACTGCAACCCAAAACCCTCTTATTTATCACAAAGTGCCAACACTGCAATCTAACCTGGAAACTGAAATCTAACCTGAAACCTTTCTCTAAACTAAAAGCAACCCACAGCCAGTCCAAGGAAATATACATATATCCTTGGCAGCACACTGACTGGCCATGCGAAAGCTCGGACGGGTTGCGGCTGATGAGTCGCGGCTTGTGACGTCATCGCCTGGCGCCGCCACTCCCTTCCGAGCCTGCGCATGGCCCCTGTGTGCGCTGCTCTCCGATGCTCGGCTGCTGGGGCGGCTTGGCTCGTGTGCCGACAGAGAGGGCTCTGCGTGCCCACCGTGGCCCATGTGCCAGAGGTTCGCCACCACTGCTCTAGGGACAAAAGGTAAAAGCAGAAAATATGGGGGAGCTGGAAAAGCTCTCCTAAAAGCATAGACAGCACCCTCTTTACCATTTTCCCCAGAGGTTTTAGAAAACGCAGGGTGGGAGCTTTCCCCCACATTTTTCCGCCCCCCCCGCCCCCCAGTCTTTTCTGGGGGGTGGGAGAAGATGGTCACTGCTTCAAGGATGCAGCGAACGTCCCCAGGGAAACTCGCAGGAGGGATGGGGGCATAAAGAGAGAAAGCTCTGGGTAAGGAACTAGTCCAGAGGCTTTGCTGAAAGGAACAGGGTGGGCACGCTCCTTCGGCGTCGGGCAGGGACAAATCGATTACCTTTGTGACCGAGATGATGGTGAGGACATCGCCCTTGCTGAACGGGAGGTCCTGATCCGCTGTGCCGTGGAAGTTGTACTTGGCAATGCATTCCGTACCAGAAGGCCAGACGGCCTGTTGGGGGAAGAGGGCAGGCGTCACTTCCGAGCCTGTTTTGCATCATCATGTGCGGGAAAGGAGCCAGGGCCCACACGGGGCAGAGGGAAGCGAGAGCAGAGAGCCACGGGGGTACGGGGGTTCAGGGCATGTCTGGGACTCGGGAGATCCAGGTTGCTGCTCGGCCATGGAGCCCCCGGGCAAGCCACAGACCGAGCCCGGCGTACCTCGCAGGGCTGTTGTTGAGGGGATAAGGCTGAGAGCGGAAGGAGAATGCTGCGAGCTGGTTCGAGTGCTTATTACGATGACGGGTGGGAAGCACAGGGAGACGCATTTGCTTTCTCTCTAGATGGGGCATGGCTCTCTTGCAGCAGCGGCCCCTCTTAGAAGAGGCACCCCTGCTTCCTTCTCAAGAGGGGATCCCTCTCCGAGCGGCCAATGCCATCGGGGGCCGTGTGCAGAAGCACTTGCATTTAAAATAGGGAGGTGCACTCCCTATTCCATGGTGCACTCCCTATTCCATGGCCCACGGTTCCAAGCCCCTCTCCGTGGGTTTAAGGCACTCAGGCAAAGGGCAGGATTATTCCCACAACGGGGCACAGGGCTGTGCTAAACTGGGGCACCTGGTGGGGGTCTGATGCGCCCCAAGACTTTTCAAGGAGCCACGGAAGCTGTGCCCTCCACCTGTTCCTGGGCTCCCACCCCCACAATCCCGGCTCATCAGCACCGCTGGCCGGCCCCGATGGGAGCTGTAACCAAAATCCGCCAGGTGGGCTCCTTCCCACCTGGCTGGCTGGCTGCCACTTTGTGTAAGGTGTGGCAGAAGGGCAGGCGGCGAACGAGAGCTCTGCAGGGTGCTCAGGACGGGCGCAGCTTGGCAAGGCTAAGTCTACTTAACCATAAATCCAGGATGTCGTGCAGGCGTCAGAGCCCCTCCACCACAGGAGGCCCCCCTCTTTGCACGGCTCTTGAATGAAGCCCTGCAAGCGAAGGATGTCCCAGGCATGTGCTGATCATCCATTCGGCCCCCTGTCCAAGCTCGAACAGGCAGTGGCAAAACTCTCGACGTCGCTGCCCCCCATGTGCCGGCCAAGCTCTGAATTAAGTACTGTTTTCAGAATGAGCATTTCTGCTTTGACAAGAAAACCACAGCGATCTGTGGTCCTTTGAGAAAATGCAAACATGGGCCTCTGGGGTGGAGCTCCCTCGTTGCCACGCCGCGAACCAGCCCTGACCTGAATCGACACCCAGTTTGGGCCGGCCAAACGCTGCTGCGGCTTGCAGACCTGCCTCTTGGCGACACCCCTCCACCTCACGTGGAGACGAGAGGGGCAATCCCACGGAAAGAAGCCCTCTGAGCCCAGGTGACCCGTCCCCTCTGCCAGGCAGAGCCTTTCTGAGCCCTCCAGCCAAAAAGGGACTGGCCCCGTCAAATTCTCCCTCATCCATCGATTGGAAAGGGCTGTCCTTGAAGCAAGGCATGCCTGCAAACAAAGCGTGTATTTGGCCACCGAGCTCTGACCTTGCAGCCTGAGTGCCCATGTTTTTGACTGCAACCCCCATCAGCCCCAGCCAGCATAGCCACCTGTCAGCGATAACAGGGGCTGAAGCCCAGAACATCCAGAAGGCCCTGAGCAGCCTTTCTGCAAAATAGTGAAAGCCGTTTTTAAATTCAGAGAGGGAGGGAGGGAGGAAATGCAGTGGAATATTTTCCCCCAGCTCCCAGGCTCAGCCCTTACCTGGACTCCTGACATTTTCTCAGGAGGTTCCGGGGACTGGATCTCACAAGAAGGACACGTCACTTGGTACCATGAGACCTAGATGAGAAAGAAGGAGGTTGAGGTCAGGGTCTGCCTCTTGCGTTCACGTGTGCTCTCTGCTCTCGCCCAAGAGAAGCGCTTCAGCAGCCTGGGAACACTAGGAGAGTGCTGTGGGTTTTTAAAAGCATCCTTTAATCTGTTTCCTCTCTCACTGTGCAGGGCCACATGCTTTCTCTGCACTTAGACGGAGAATGCCAATCTCACTGTTCCTCGCTCCCCACCACCCGCCACCGTCTGGGTGCCAATCGCAAGGATGCATCAGATTTTTAATCCGGGGTTTGGAAGGGAACGGAGAGGGAAAATGTCATGATCTCGACTTTTCTTTTCAAATCCTCAGCGCCATTCTTGGGCAGACATGGTTGCCAACTTACCCACCAGCCCCCAGCTCAGAAATGTGTCTGTGGTGTAAAGAAGTGTGCCTTACAGTCCAGACACTGAAACAGTATCATAAACTGTCAAACCATTATTGTTGTTCATATGGGTTGATTTTCTAACCCCCTAAGAAATTAGGCAAGGAAAATGCTTCTCCACTGACACCCTGTGGTGTGGACCAGCGCACTTATACAGATTGGTTTTGTTCGGGGGCCCAAAGACAGCCTCCAATGGACAGATCAACAGGTCCTGGGATGTATTGTATTCTCTGGTGCATTTTGGTTTCCCAAATGAAAAGGAAACTGGAAAGAGAGGGTGCAGTTTGCACGGGAAAACTGTTGCAGATTTATATCTGGACAGATTCTGCAGTGGAGAACACACTGGGGCTCCGTATCCCTGGTTAGATGAGTCAGCAACCGTCTCTCTTCCATGGGCAGTGGAAGAGGCTTCCCACCGCCCTCGTGGCTCAGGCAGGACATCCCAGGAGAACGACTTTTGCTGACCCACCTTCCATCAGCCACGTCACTCTCGGGGCAGCAGAACCCCCAAGTCCCAGCTCTGTCGTTCATCCCAAATAAAAGAGAAGCAGTCAGAGCGTCACGCTCTCAAACTTCCTCCGACATATGCTTGATTTTGCAACGTTCAGTGTGGCTGATGGATGGGCATCTTCGGGAAACGCTGAGGATCCATTAGAGCCACATTGATCGCAAGGGGAAAGCTGGCCGAGATGACGGTTCCCGAAGGAGGCGCGGCCGGCCGCTGGCTGCATCCCCAAGGAGCCGCGCAAGGCTTCCGTTGGCAGCGAGCCGTAGCTTTCGCTAAACGGCACCGGCGGGGTGAATGTGAATCGTGTTGATTTGCTCCTGCAGAGGCAGGAAGTCAACAAACTGGGAGCCAAGCAAGATTGCTTCTTGCTCTGCGTCTGCCCTGCCCCTGCTCCGGAAAGGGGAGACCGGCGGGGGGCCGGGGGGGGAGCAGGGCTTTTTGACCTGTGTGCAGACACACCTCCTGGGAGAGTCCAAAAGCACAAGGTCATGCAGCCTTTTGTGAAGAAACAGGATTTAATCCAAGGCCAGCCACCCCAAAATACTTCGAATTATAACTGCTCCCCACAATACACTAGGGGCGTTCACACAACTGTTCCAGCCCATCGTGCTTTATTTAACCCTCGGTGGGCTGCCATACTTGTTGGCTTCCCTTTAGAACATTCACCCTTTAGTGGGGAGGGCCTCATGGGTAGCCGCATCATCTAATCGCAGGCAGCAGCAACGGGGGTGGAGGGTTAGACAACCCTCGGTTCACCCACGGTCTGCTGTACCACCCCTGCTGCCCAGGCTTAGACGTCACGGCAAGGCACAGCAACACTCCACTGGGGTGGCTGAAGGATCCAAACCGTTGCCACACACAGCACAAGCCACGGCGGCCACCAGAGGCTGCAGCGGTGGTGTGAACCAGGCAACTGTCACCAAAGAACCGCAGCTATCGTAGCCCCCGCAGCGCAGGGGAGGGAGGGAACAGAGCCCTCAGGACGCCCCGGGCAGGACCGGGCCCTTTCCTCCACTCGCACCGACTCGGCGTCCACGCAGGATGGGGGACACGACCGTCCCTCCTCGGCCACAGGGGCCCTTCCAGACATTTTGCACTGTGAGAGCTCCAGTCACGCCCGAGCACTGGCTGGGGCTGATGGGAGCTGTAGTCCAAAGCACCGCCCGCCCTGCCCGCCCTCGCCCATCCTTTTCCGAGTGAACGCGGCGGCATTCTTCCTTTGAAGTTGCTCACAGCACCTGCAGTGATACAAACTGAAGGGCTTTTTAAAAATTAATGCAGCGCGCCATCGTTTCCGCAGCCCTTTAAGCGCCTCAAGCCGAGCAATCAAATCACGGGTCATTCACTTCTATTTTTAGTCAACTCTTTTTTTCTTCTTCTTTTGAGTTAATTCTTTCCACTTTGACACCTGTGCACTGAGGTGCATCAAATCCGGTTCACCTCTCCTCTGACTTTGGGCAATTCTCCCCAGAACGATCAATTAAGGCCGGTCTTGCTTCGATGGGTTTGTAACGGAACTGTCTCTACACGCACGTCCCTCCGTCATATCATTTAATGGCCTCAGTATCTTACTGCTCTCGCAGCTTCGAATGCATCTCCTTAAAGCCATTCATCTCCTACAGAAGTTTCTTCAGATATATGTTTATGGCACTGCTTATATTATTAGGCATGCAATCAATCCTTTTCTTTGTATACAATTGTGATGCACATCAAAGCACATGGATATTTTATGGGTCTTGCTAGTTCTTGGATGTGTGCGCTGGACGGGATGCTGAGGGGCGCATCGAATGCCTCTCCATGCACGAACAACACGAGCGCAAAACGGCACTGGGCAAACGGGCCGTGGTTTTCCACTTCTGCGTTTGGACTCCTCTCTCTCGCAGAACTCCTGGAGAAGCACAGCCAGGCCATTTGCTTCCCTGGTCAGATCCTGCCTGATGAAGAGCTCTCGTCTGCGCAAAAGCAAGTGCCCCTCCAGGCTGCGGAGGGAGGGGCAACGAGGTGGTGGCGCATGGGAACGAGAGGCGCTCACTGTGACGGTCTCTGACTGTTCCCCCGAAGAGAGGCCAAAAGTCTGAGCAGCTGTGCCGGTCCATTTCAAGCCCGTTCCAGCATCTTTGCCTCCACTGGGAGCAGGTTCCTCATAAAGACCGGGGTCTTCATTCCGGCCGAAGGCCAATCCACACCCGAATTCCTCGCTTTGCTCCGAGGAGCGAGATATTACTGCTGGGAAAAATCATTTCCCTCCGTGGCTACTGTGAGCACTGCAGTTAAATTCAGAGGGAGTGGGGAATTTGGGGGTGGCTGATGGCATTGGTGTCCCTGTGTTTAAAAATGTGCCAGCGCTGCATCCCCACCAGAGGACTGTGCGGGGGGGGGGGGGTCCGACAGAGGAAGACGTTCCTCCCTGCCTGCCTGCCATTTGCTCCACCATGGGCGGCCCGAGTTTTCGTTGGGTGAGCCCGGCAAGGCGCATGGCCCAACGCCAGCCTCAGCTCCCTCGAGCCCCCCACCTTCCCCGTCCTCCTCCCACATTCCCGCTCTCTGGCTCGTCCCTGCATTCTCTATATTTAGTGGCGTGCCCTGCCAGCCTCTCACAGGGAAGCCCCCAGTCGCAGCCGCTGCTATTAATAGGAAGCTGGCGCTCCGAAGCATCTGCTTTGACAGGTGCGTGGCACAAGCCCCGTGTGGGCAAGCGGCCGAGCCCAGAGGCAGGCTGGCAAGGATGCCCGGGATGCCGTCCTTACGGGACACAGACGGGGAGGGTGGCAGGAGAGGGGAAGCGAGGAGGGCTCTCCGCTCGGGCTGCTTCGACAGCTGGGCGCAGAGGCTGCCAGATGTTAGGAGAGGAGCCTGCCCTTCCCGAAGGATCAGCCTGTCCCGGGGCCTTCGAGCCACCCACCGCCCCCGGTTCACTTTTACCCTGCTTGCCACGGATGTGCCCCACGGCCACGCTCGTGCAAAGCACTCCACTTGATAGATCACCAAAAGAGCCCCGCCAGATCGTGCTGCAACGCAAAATGCTCCCGCTCTGGGTTTCTGCCAGCCAGCCAGGCCTTCTTCTAGGATATTCCATTCCATTCCCCGTCCCTCTTGCTTTCCTCAAGCCAACGTTCCGCAGCTCATGAGCATACACTGCCCTCATTAGGCGTTTTGGGGGCTCCTCCAGGAGGGTTTCCCGCACTAAATATGCCTGCAGACCTTGGAATTTCCCAAAGCATGATGCTGTCTTCCTCTTGCGCTTGAATGACGCCACCCTGGCTACCAAAAACAGCACATGGCGTTTGTGATCAGCACACTGAGAAAGTGGAAGCCAGGCTGAATAACGGCCTTGACAATGAATCGGCGCGCTAAAGTGAACACTGAACTACCAAAGCAAGCTTTGTTAGATGTCCATCCAAAGGCACTTGGTCTTCAAAACCAGAGGTCTTCGAAAGCCGTCTATGGCTGGAAAGAGGGGAGTCTGTAAGATTTCCCAAAAGCACCCGTTTTCACTAACTGTGGTGCCACTACGAAGAATCAACCAAAGAGGATTGGCCAGAAAGCAGTGCCTTGAAAGCTCATCATAAAGGCCAGGTAAGTTGGGAAAAGCCGAGAACCTGGCCTTCTTCAGCTGTTTTTGGAAAAACCTGTCCACCTCCCATTTAGCTATAAATACCTATTGCTCTATATTCGTGACACTGAGGAGAGAATTTAGCATTAAGAACAGCTTTATAAAAAGCAAGCAAGCAAAGTAATACATTTCTATCTGCCTGCTGCAGTTTTTTGATGGCTTGCGAATACATAACCTATTTCAACCGGATTTTTTTAAACTGTTGCATGTAAGTGGCTTGGAAGGAGCTTCGCATGTAGGAAAGCTGGGAGCAGAGGCCATGCTGGCTTTAAAATGAGAGACTGGAAACGGACTGGCAAGCAGAGTAATGGCCATAGCACCGAACTCCATGGCTGAAAATACGAACTTGGCAACTTGCAATACTAGCCTCTAATAAAGGAGAGTATTCTGCTTCCAGCTCCTCTCTGGTTCAGAGCTGCATCCAAGGCTAACAACAGTTCTCAACCATCCCACATTTTAATTCACA